AGAGCGGCAGCTAGGAGGGAGCTGTTCTGTGGGAAGGGGAAAGCACAGATTTGCTGTGCTCGCAGCAGCTTGTACGAAGTGAGTAAACACACCGCTGTCTCCCCATGTGTGAAGTTTCATTAAAGAAAGTGTTTATTTCCTTTCTGTCAGGCAGATAAGATGATGATAGTGTGAATAATTTAAGCCCTTCCTTTGTTACAAGCAGATTCTAGTAAAAGAGTAGGGTTAGAAAACAGTATCTGCTACTGCTGCTTTATGAGTAGGAAGATCATAGTACTTGTAGTTTACAAAGGAGTTACCCAGCAGTGGGAGCTGTGAACTTAACCTAACAGTGAGCTCAAACAGTTGTGGTTGCTCAGCGTCAGCTTCGGCCAGATGCTTCTTCATTCAGAAAGTGAACTCCCTCCAGCAGCAGGCCACCAGTCCTGGTTGTGTAGATATGCACAGGTGATAAGAGTATAGTCCTCTATATAGAGAGAACACGTGTGTGTATAATGTCCTAACAGTTAAAGCAGCTAATAAGAAAGCTGATATTACAAAAAAGTACTCATTTTGTGAATGGAAATGAACCAACCTTGATTGCAGTAGGTGGGGAGGATTATTTTTTCTTTTTTCCCTAATTTTTTCCTACTAGTACAGCTACCCAATTGTAAAATGGATTTATGAGTTATGCTTACCTTTGATAGGCATTTATAATTTCTCAGATGTAAATTATTCCTCTGGCGTTACCTACTGTTCCAAACTTGTCTACAGTTACTCTAAAGCCAGCCCCTTATACCCATTTTTTATAAAACAAATATTTTTTGTATATTCACTGTGAAGTAGAAAGTCCTTTTCCTCCCAGATTGTAATTGAGGGTATATGAATGCCCTAACCACCTCTTATTTCAAGTAATGCCAATAACATATGCAGTGTTTGAGGTGCAGTGGCCAGCACATGAATATACCTGTGAAGAGTCTTTTATTGTTCCCCCTAATAACTGACGTATTGCCTGAGGTGTACAATTCTTCAGGAAAATTATCTGATACTATTAAAGAAAATGGAAAGGCCTTAAACTTATCTGGTTTGTCTGTTTACCTGTTTAGCATTGCTAATCCAAGAGGTATAGCTTCTCTCATCACTTTGGAATTCACAGGTTAGCAATTCATTATGTAACTAAACCACATTATCATGCACAATATCATGGAAACCACATCGTGAGTATGTCTTCTTAGCATACTGTAAGTGAGCAGGCACATTGCAGGTTTTTAAAGACCAAATAGCCTTTCCCTTCAGCATCAGTTAAAGTTATAATGATCTGTTAGTTTTCAAACTACCATGGACTTTTCAGAGGTAGACAAAACCTGAATGTTCCAAATAAAAATCAAGCAGAGAAGAAATAAACTAAAACATCTTTACTTCTTTCCATTTTCTCAAAAGGAAAATCTGTTTCCACTTCAGTGGAGGAGGTCTTAAAAGATCTTATATTTTCTAATTCACTGCTCCAGAAATACACCAAGAGGTTCTTCAAGGCTTTCTGTTCTACTATTTTGGGTTCAAAGATGATGGTAAATATAACAGATACCAGCCTTTGCTCTGTCAATGCAAACTTTCAGAATAAAAACCCCCATATATTTAAATCTCTACGTAAATATGGAACCATGGTACTCTAGGGTTTTTTGCAGTAGTACAGGTAGCTAAGCTGTGATGCATAGTGTTGATTAGGCTTGGAAAAAGTTGCCCTGTGCCCATTATTCAGGTTTTAGATTATTAGTTCTAACTGGAATCCAGTGGAAAAATGTGTCTCTTTTTGTAGCATAGCTACAACCTTTTCCGTATCTTTTAATAACTTGCATTTTGTTGCTGTATCTGGCTTTGTGTGGTATTTATCTGGTATTCCATCCCATTAACAACAGTTTGGATGCAGAGGGAGTAAAAAGGGGATTAACTATAGAAAGTGCCTCTAAATACTATTGCTACTGTTAGAGATGGACTAGAGGGCCAAGTGGGTAACTGATCTGACCCTGCAGAGTATTTTGTATGTTCTGGTGTAGCTACATTTTGTATGGGAGTTTATCATGCAGCCTCTGAATCAATACATCAAACATATGTGAGTGAAGAGCCACCTCTGAATCCGCATGAAATTATCATGAGAATCCGAGGTCCTCCTATAAAGTCGGAAAGCTCTTGCAAGCATATTCAAGTACAGTAGCGCAGCACAGATAAACATTTAACTCTTGTGTGGCTGTGAATTAATCAAGTCATTTTAGTTTACTACTACTTGTGTAGAAAGAAAAGGGGGAAAAGCAACTTCTAACTCCAATCTGTTGCAGATCTCTGAGTCTGTTCCTACTATGAGTATTCTCTGGAAGGTGAATTCTTACATATATGAATTATTCTTACTATGCATGTAAACAGTATACCTAAATATTCTTAAAACTATTACATTGCTTTTATTATTCCTGAGAAACACACAGAAATAAAGTTAACATTTGTATCATAAATTATACAAAAAAATGTTACTTTTATAAATGAATTATTAAAATCACGGGAAGGGCAAAATCATTATTTGCACAGTAAAGGTGCAGATTTTGCCAAGAGGTGAATTTCACTTTGGATGGAGAAGAACAAGTACTGGAAACAACTGTTTGCTGGTTTAACTTTTCTGAAGTCAGAATGATTGCATCAGCAGAAACTTTATTCTGTTACTTCCAAATAGAGGGATAATGAAGTTATTTAGCAAAGTCAGTCAACAGCTCTAAACCACTGCAAATGGACACCTCTGTGCAAAGTAAATCAATAAAGCAGACTGTCTTCTCTTAGTTCAACCCTAAATATCTAGCTTGGCTGGAGACTGCAAGGAGAAAAAAGAAAAGCACTGCAGATCAGAGCTCTGAAGTCGGAGAGCAGGAGGTTACTGTTAGGAATTACTCCAAATTCCAAAGGCTTACCTGCCCAAAATTTATTATAACCAAGTAGCTGTTATGGAAAGCTCGGGGGGGAGAGGAGGAGAGAGAGAGAGAAAAATGGCAGTGTGAAAAATAATTCCCAGTCCTGCAAATATGTTCTAACATGTCTAACATAGCTTCAATATTTAATAGTATTAAGTCACCTACTGAGGCAATAAATAGAACTGGTCTGAATTTTAAAAATATAGAAACAAGCTTGTAAAGACCAAAGTGACAGCAAACTTGTTTCTGGACAAAACTGGATACAGTTCTAGCTTTAATTATTTTTTGTTATTTTAAAAGGAATAGAGAATGAGAGTATACCCTCATATAAATTCCCAATAGCTTGCTTTCTTGTTTGAAGAACTAGGTCAGAACTTCCAGGATTGTTTGTAGATGGAACACAACTTTCTAGTGTTTCAACTTCTGCTTTCTTAGGCTTCATAATAGGTAATCATGGAAAAATAAGTTTGCTTTCCTGGAAATCTTCCTAGTGGGATAAGTGAGAATTTTCATCAGTGTTTTTTGTTTGAAATGAATGATCTAATGTTTCGTCAAGGAATCTTCAAAAATTAAAAACCTGTACCTATGCATATATCTGCTGACGGAGAAGGGTGACATGAAGAACAATGTGTGACACCTGAACTCTGCTGTTATTTTCTTCAGATGAATGTGTATGGGAGTGGATGATTCATCCTGTGAAGTACAGACTCTTTGGTTTCAAATACATTCATTGGAACTTCTTAGCCTAGACATCAGGGTGTTTGGGTTACTTATTTCTTTATGAGTCAGAAGTTCTGACTAATGTTTCTGCTTAGTTAACCACAGAATAGGAGACAAAGCTCCAGATTTTTTTGTGGAGAGTCAGAAATCAAATGGTTGTTATAAAAGAGAAGTGACAAAAAGAAAGACAAAATAAAACAGGGCCACAATAGATAGCAAGATGCACAGACTTCGTAAGTACTCATTTCCAAGAGGTTCGGTTAGTCAGTAAATGAACATCCACCAAATTCTAGAATTTGTTGAAAAATGCAGTTAAAACTTAGTATATAAATGGAGATGGAAACAGTGCTCTTACTGAAGAGGAAAAAGATAAACAAGTTTCGCATTTCAGGTAAAAGTCAATGAGCACAAGAAGTATTGACCAAGGATGGGATAGGACTTACAGAGTTTTGTAGATGTTTAAGCAGGTATCCAGTTCATAGCAAATGAAAAATCACAAGACCTTGAGACATCGAATTCAGCCCTTTTCCCAAGGAAGGACTATCTGTCCCTACAATATTCCCAGCTGATACTTGTCAACCTCTTCTAAAAGTATACTGTTGATGGAAATCAAGCTTTTTCATGGGCTGTTTCACTGTTCTCACTAAAAGAAAGATTTTGCCTATTATTTGTCCACCTATCATCAAAGGAATTTATTTGCTTCCTCTGTCCAGCTACCTTAAAATTGCTTGAACACTATTTTTACCTCCCACCATCAGTCTTCTCTACTGTAAGAAAACTGAGTTTCTTCCATCTTTTTTTCATACATCGTTTCAAGACAAAGTGTCAGTAAGCATGAAGTCACTCAGGAAGGGACTTCAAACAAAGATCTTGGATCTTTTTCAGAGGAACAATAAGAGCACTGTATCCAGGTGGTGGGTTTTGTCTGTTTGACAGCTTCAGAAACTTTGTGAGTCTCTTTTTGTTCTTTTGGTAACTGTCCTTTTTTCTTTCTAAAAGAATTTCAGATTCCCTGCAAGATGTCCTGAGTAATATTGTTCAGTTCAATAGTGTCTAGAGAATGAAAACCAGCATCAACACCAGGTTTATAATAAGGTGTCAACAGGGAGACTTCCTGATTACTATAGGAGGTCTCTTCAAGGAGAAATGTGAGAGTGTATATCTGACTACTTTGCTAGGGGAGGAAGGGTCAGTTGGCAGTATAGTGCACCCAAGTATTGATGGTCTGAGATATGGAACAGAAAAAGGAAATTTTACCTCATGATGTTAGGGGAATTTTGTTGGAAACCTTCATAATGCATGTGTAATTCCATTCTGCAAAAAGCTTCCTGATGACTGGCTATTGATGATATGAATGTGAAAAGCAGGATTGCTGCACAGTCTAATTATGAATAGGTCGTAAAAATGGATTAGTCTTCAGAAAAAAATTACAGCCAAGATGGAAGTTTTAGGTTACCAACCAATTTAAAATACAGATTCATTTTCTATAGACTGCTGGTCTGATTTGAAGGTAAATATCCTGTTTGTGTGCCTTAGTTTTCCATTTGTAATGACTCACCATGAATCAGGAGTGGATGACTCAGGAGTTATGGACAGTACAGCTCCTATGGATTGAAATCAGAGCTGGCTTGACAGGTACCCACGTGGTGTTTCCCGTAATATACAGGAGCCCTGAAGAACAGCAGGACATGTGCACTGCACTTCATGCAAGCCTGCTATAATCTCCTTTTTGCCTGAGACTTGCTCCAGCATCCGTAGTGTTATAACCTTTAAACATCTAAAAATGAAAATTAATAGTACTTCTTTTTCTGATTTGTTTGTTCTGTGGTGTTCTTCAGGCAATTAAATGAGCTGCCATGACAGTATCTGTATTTTGCATCATACAAGGGTCTTCTAGTACAATGGCAGTACTGTAGCTGCAGCTGTAGCTGCAAAACATATAATTTACTTAGTTCTTAGTGGCATACCGATGTACAAACTGGGTTCTTTTAAATTACTATCCACCCCCATCACCTCTTGTCTTTGAGTTTTGATAATCCCTCTCCCAACTCTGCTATTCCATAAGCATTTCAAATGATTGATTTAACTGAGGTGTCTTCATCAAATTAGAACAACTGTAATCATCTAGATAACACTATACTTCTTTCCTAAAAGTTCAAAAAATGCAATTGAGAGATGAATATTCTGCAACAACCCAATTGCTTCTACTTGCCTAATAACTTACACCTCTCAGTATCTACCATGTGATTCCTAACTTTACCAAAGTCCTGAATATGGACTCCCCTGCTGAAGTACTGACATGTTACTACCTGGTTGTGTCAGACTTACTAAGTGCCTCCAGTTTTAGATCTCTTGAGGTCCCTTCCAACCCTTGGGATTCTGTGATTCTGTGATCACTCCAAAATCTCTTCTCATTAGTTATCATTTGCATGAAACAGAAGATGAAAAGGAAAGCCATTGGAATATAAAAACGAAGCATTAACTTTTGGAAACTAGGTGTAAAATCAAATTTTGCAGCATGCATCATCCCAACTAGCTATTTAATTGGGCTAATTCAGAATACATCTGTCCTTGCTTGTGGACTTATATATGAACAGTACTAAACAGATAAGTAATTGGCCTAATATTTATTAAATTTACCTCTTTCAGATCCTAAGCCACAACACAGCAATCTCCACTGTTAGCAGGAAAGTAGGTGGTAGATGGCAGACCTACATGTTTAATCACTCCTGCTGAGGTATAAAATGCTACCCTATCATTGTGGTCTTGGTGTCCAGACTTCCCAACAGGTTTGTAGGAAAGTGCATCATGATTAATTATAGATTGCCGTACTAATTTCTGAGCAATTTAACTTTTAATATTAACTTTGCAGTTGAAACCATTTCCCAGTACAACATAGAACAAAAAATACAGGTAGCATTGACCTCTAAGTGCAATAATGTTGGATTTAAGTCATTTCCTACAATGATACATTCCTGAGCTTGCCCTAGCTGTGTGAGTGACCTCTGATTTCTCTAACATAAATAAAATAAAGCTTCTTACTTTGCACTGTAGGAAAAGAACTACATACAGCAGCACTGCCATCTTCTGCTTGCTTGCTTTCATGCATGCAAGTACTAGGTTTATATTGCAAAGCAACAACAGGGAAGGTGCATTTTTCTACTAGTAGGTATCTGAGGCAATAACATTTTCTAATACTCAGGGGTAACATATGTCTGGAGTTCCACAAATGTGTGGGTTTTGACACAAGAACTTTTTCTGGGAATAGAAAAGGATTTCAGACATTTATCTAGGATTTCTATTATATCCCATTCCAGCCAAAGCAATAGCTCAAAAATCTCAGGCAAATGTATGCATCTGTGTACTTGTGCTGTCCACAAGGAATATATTTCACTTGTTGAATATGCTCTGTAGAGCTGATCTGTACACAAATGTACACATTTGAACAGATCTACTGTTCCTTGTGGTCTGCACGAGTACAGCACGTCCAAAGTATGAATGATTAATGTGCACAGGACTAATTCACTGTGGTTGAGGTATCTTTGATCCTATGTTTGTGTGGTCCATATGCAGTAGGTCCAACAGGTCCCAGATGTATCCCATATGCTTTTGATCTGAAGTTTCCTGGATGTGCTGTACATCAGCACATAAGCAATATAGAAAGCTGGAAGCCCTACCTCAGGTATTTCTTTTTTAAAGACTAAGATATGGTAAATGATATTTTGCTGAACTGAAGTTGCCCACAAAGGGCACATGGAGCCTGTATGGTTCCAGGGATGTGCCACACATCAAGGAAGCAGCTCTGTGAAAGTTTGCCATAGGGTATTAGGCAATGCATTGTTGGATGGAGCTTTCAGCAGAACCATTAGTTATGAGTTTGATTTTATCAGAAAAACTGAAAAGGGAGAGTATTTCGCTGTATGACTATCCTGCTGGGGCATGTCCTTGGGGTTTTTCACCCCGTGGAGGTAGACAGTGACAGTGGCAGTTATGATCTTTCCTTTTCCATGCAGTAATGCATGGAATGACTTCCGGCAAGTGAACAAGTCCTGGTTGGTTTTAATTCTTAGAATATTGGAGTTAGATATTCCAGCCTCTGCCTTATCCAAGACCTTGATAGACTGAATTGCAGTGATAACTAATCTTTTACCTTTCCCAAATGTGATAATACTGATGCATGCAGAGGGGTGTCTGTATTTGCAGAAGCATGAGACTTTAAACAAGGTGGGGAGGTGTATTCCCAGAATAGAGTTAGAATCACAGTAATATCATGGTACAGGTTTATTGCTTATCATTATCTGGGAGGGGAATAATTAGCTGAGAATATTCACATGCACTGCTATCCCTGGTACAGAGTCCCTCGCAGTCAGTTGTGTGCTCACTGAACTCTGATGCATTATGAACCCTATAGACAAACCCTGGTCTTGCTGAGTGATTCAGTTCTGATACCAACATCACCACTAACTTGATCGAGCACTGCTGCACACTCAGCTTGTTGCTATTACTATTATCAGTTCAATGCAGCAATGTGCATCCCACATTTTACTATAGGCTGGGCTCAGAAATGCCAGGGGACAAGATACTTTTGGTTCTGGTTTGAGATAAAGCTTTTGAAGAGCCTAGGACAGAGGTTTCTGCTAGATTATTCTTGAACCTGGAAAGCTTCCCAAACCAGAATCTACCGTGAGTCATACAGTATGATCCAATTGGTCTTGGTAATTTGAATTCCTTTCTTGGACAGAGTCAGAGTCAGTACAGACAACAGACGATTCCATCCAAAAAATATGGAATGATGGGCAAGACACATAATAGCAAGTGTAAATGATGATTGCTAAGCCAGATTTTTCTCTTCAGACAGAAGCACGAAGTTTCATTCTTCTCTCTCTTGAACCCACACTTATTGTTAAGAGCAAGTTAAGAACTAACGAAGGCATTAGCAGGTACTGGAGAACAGTCTGTTGCTTGCTAGCCAAAACTTCTGGGGTGCAAGAAGGTAAAAGAAGTTACTTTAAATGCATTTTGTCGGTGAGATCTCAGCTCACACTCAGCTAATTGGCCTGTTTTGCAGGACTTAACCTGGTGGCATAAGAACCTTGAAATAAATCTCTTAGCTACGATTAGAGATTAGCACAGGCAGGAGATTTGAAGTCTCTTCCTTCATCTCTGCTAGGACAGAACTACACAGACATCAGGAAATCAGTACTTCTGTCTTCCTCAGGATGCCTGATCCAGGTATTTTCTCCACTGTACTCAGCAAGTTGCCAGTTTCAAGATCCCATTCAATCCTCTGAAGCAGGTTAGTGGTTTCTTTTACAGACAGGAATGTGTGTTTAGCAAAAATGGTGGATTTTAGTGAAATTGGTAAGGTAAGATGGGTTTCCTTATGATGAAATTGCAAAACAAATTTCTGTGGAAAATTTGCATCTAATAAGTAAGTGTTATGTAAAACTGAATAGCTGTGCCGTGTCTTGTTCTATATAGCTGGGGGAAATTGATACCAAAGGAACAGGTATGTGGCATCTTGGAAGCAAAAAGCTACTTGCCATACGCTGATGGAAGCTGTCTTTGAAGTCAGTTAGACAAGGAAAACTTAAGAACAGTACTGATAATATGGGAGGGATGTCCACATTTATTTGGCTTCCTCTGTTGAAAAAGTATTTCTCCCTTTATAGAATAAATTCACTTGTTCTCCCATAGCTGGGATAAAAATGTCTGTGTGTATGTGCTTCATACCTCTGGTGTGCCTCGTGTGCAATGTCAAGATGTGTTTCAAAGAACTTCAATAAAAGTGTTAGTTCCATTGAACTACTGGGAGCATTGGTGGCTTTACAGTAGCCCACTGCCAGATGTAACTTGGAGAAGAACAGATGCATATTGCAGAAGAAGACAATAACACTTCTAGCTCGTAACTGCACCTCAGTTCTTTCAGCTAGAAGAAATGTCTTCATTATGATTTTAAAAAAGTGAATTCCAATACATCTTATGCTAATAAATATATTCAGTACTTCATTGAAGAGTTGGGGAAATAATAATGTCATAGTGTGCTTACAAAACTCATCATGATGGGAAGAGAGTCATCTCGTTATCTAAAATAAATTCAGTAAATAATAGGAAAAAATGATTCAAAGAGAAGTATCCACACAGAAGCTGGGAATGCAGGAACAGAGTAGGTAAGTTATTCTGTCCCAGACTCAATGCACTCAAAGTTTCATCAGAAGCACAGTGTATCTTTGTGCAATCCCAGGTATATCAGTGACAGCCAGAGTCAGTCATTGTGTGGGTCACTGCACTAAAACAACCAGTCATTTCCCCCCTTTTCCTCTGGCAGTACAGCTCATATGAAACATCAGGTCTTATTGCACTAGAGGACTGTAGTACCTCTGTTAGATGCATGTGAATATTCCATGAAATTTGGTCCTACAATAATACTGAAATTGCACTGAGGAAGCTTGGAAATACCAGATGAGAAGTACTGGAGGCAAGGACTTACGAGGAGAGTTACTTTTGCACAGAAATTTTTCATTATTTTAACTTCAGGCATCTAAAAAATGGGTGAGGGAACTCTGTCAGAATAGCTGTACAACATGGAATATACCCCTGCTTATGGAATTCAGCTTCAGGTTTCTTTATAGATTGAATAGGACAAAGTCTTCCAAAATCAACAATGCTTCTTGAGCAATGGATTTTTAAATAAAGGTACAACTGTTTACAACTTTTATTCAAACATTAAAGCAAAGGATGTTTGGCAAGCAGGGTGTTCTCAGGGACACTGTAACTATACATGTGCCTAACATTTCAGAGGCATTGTGTAAATACACAAGTGTATTTCATAGTAGTGATGCATTCATATACACTGGCCATTGAACATGAGTTGCATATCAGCAGCTAGGGGATTTCACAACAGATTCTCTCTGTTGTGAGCTCTGAGACCTGAGTATCAGGGCAAATAAACCTATTTGCAGCAGCCATCTACAGCTATTTAAGTTCAAGTCATGAACTGCTTAGCTGGTGAAGCAATCAAAGATACTGTTTCCAGGCTTAGACAGGCTGTCAGCTGAATGCATATGGAGGCTTAATTCTGTGCCAGCAGAGCATGATCTTTCTGAATGAGGTCTGAAGAATATTGTAGAAGATCAGTGTGAACAAAGTGTTGTCATTTTATGAACAACTGTTGTCTGAGCTTGTTTGTACATAGGTGTCTATCAGTAATCAGTATTTCATAATTATAACTGATATGCTTATAACAGTATGATCAGAATCAATATTCAGCCATAACTGATAATCAGCCTTAACAATCATTAACACCAGCACCCCGTTTTTAAAGTCAGAGAGCTGCTGGCCTCAACACCTTTGGAAATAAGAAAAATACTGTGCATTTTTCACACCATTCTCTGTATTGTACAAAATATACAAAAATTAATAGTTTTGAGGGGAAGCAGTTTCCTCTGTAAAAGCAGGAGAAAATAAATCAACAAACATTAAGTAGATCTCTCAGGCATTAAAATGTTTTTATATTGAAATGCATGAAGATGTCTAACCATACCCTGATATGAATGGAACAACCTGTTCCTCACCTCTAAAACAGAACTGACTCCTGCTGACATGCACAGATGAAGATGCTGGGATGCCATTACCTTTTTAAATTGTAGTCTACAACAGTCTTCTTACCCCATGTTAAACTTTGTTGCAGCTGTGGATCCTTTAGTGGGATAGGTGTAGCCCTACTTCTGTACAGCTAGTCTGCTCCAACAGGTTTTAGATCCTGGATGCTATTAGCTGCTTTCTGCCTGTGATTGTGATATGACTGGAGAGATGCAAAGGAGAAGTTATACAACATTAGCAGTGTTGCAGGGAAGCAAGGTTAAAAGTGCTGGGGAAGATGGTATCTTTTCTTAGATCCACTAATAGCTAGGGAAAACAAGATAGACCTTGAAACACTGAAGTCCTCCTTCAGCTGTGAAACTGAAATACTGATTTGAAACTCAGGGGGGGTGCTCTCTGAATATATTTTATGCCCATCATTGTGACCTTTGAAGAGAAAAATAAGAATCTGCAGATCACATGGGAAAGTTATTAAAGGAAACAGCACTGCATCAGCTACTAGGAAGAAAAATAACTGTTACAGCTGAAATTTAAGCTATAAATGTCACTGGGGGACTCCCTTGGCAGGGCTCAGAGTGCATGAGGCTGTACAGGAAGTTCTCTGTAGCCTCTATAAATACTTGGTCAAATAGTAATCTCTCTCTCTCTCCCCTTCAGATTTCTGCTGCATGCCTTGGATAGATGTTTCTAATCAGCTTACAAGCTTTCCTTGACCTGCGCTTCATTTCCTAACTCTGATCCGACTATGGCTGTCCTCAAAGTAAAATTCACCAAAACTAAGAGGGACAAATTGGCTCAGATCTTATGGATCCTCAACTGGGTTTCTGTAGTGAGCGGGATCATTCTCTTCAGTCTTGGCCTCTTTCTGAAAATAGAGATCAAGAAGCGCAACGAAGTGATGGCAAAAGGGGATGTTAACTCTGTCCCCAACATGCTGATCTCTGTAGGGGTCATAGCATGTATCATCAACTTCCTGGGTGGCAAAATCTGCTATGACTGCTCAGATACCAACAAGTTCTCTCGATGGAAACTAGTTATGCTCCCATACATCGTGTGCACCTTCTGTTTTACCTTCTGCATCCTTGTGGGTGCTCTCATGTGCTATACCATGAGGAACGAGCTGGAAGAGTCTCTCTATCTGGGACTGAGGGATGCTATTAAGTTCTATAAGGACACAGACATACCTGGAAGATGTTTCTTAAAGAAAACAGTGGATATGTTACAAATTAGTTTCCAATGCTGTGGAAACAATGGCTTTAGAGACTGGTTTGAAATTCAGTGGGTATCTCATCGTTACCTGAATATGGCTTCCAAGGAAGTTCTGGAGTAAGTATTTACTAGTCATAACAAAAGAAATCCAGACAAAAAACTCATTGAAGAAGGCAAAGCAGATAGTAGTTTTGACTGAACCTTTGTCTCTTAATCAAAAAACTGTAGAATGACCACATTGCTCACAATATATGCTACCTATGTGCACAATCAGAACTTGCCTTTTGTTGACTTTTTAGCAAAAGGAATGCTAAGCAAAGCAAGGATTTATCTTTCCTTTTTTAATGTGGTGAATTAGCTACCTCGTTATAGTGAGCTGATACTGGAAAGAAAAAAAGAGTTCTACCATCAGTACATTGCACAGTCAGTCCTAAACACTGAAAGATCCTCCTCCTTCAAGATGTTAGGCTGCAAATCTAGTTTCAGTTCTATATGTTCAGATATGAGAAACTGCCAACAACATGTACACTGCATAAAAAAGGAGGAGAAAATCCCTTGAATTTTTGGGGGCAGGAAGGGGGTGGTTTTTCACATGATGTAGCAATTGTGAAATTATATGCCCAAAAAGAAGAGTCTGGTTATTCTTACAATAAATAGAAAACTTAACAATATTCGTAAATATTAAAGTAGACAATCCAGTATATAATAGTTTTTCTGAAGCTGAAAATAACTCTTCACTGATGACAGTGTAGTAGCTACGTATGTTCTTGGGAACAAACACAAAAAGCTTGACTGGCATTTATCAAGTATCCTGTTTTGTTGAACTCAAGTATTGGTGTCAGTAAAGCCAAAGGAAGAGAGGCCAAAGATCTCACCTTCACAGCATTTGCAATTGGAAACTACCATCAAAGCAAAGCATATATACAGAGCTGCAAGCATCTCGGAGGACAGGGCCTATATATAGCCAAGAGGGCATCAACATGAGTAAGGCAGTTGGCCATGGAAATAAAGCAAGCTGTAGAACAAGTGTTCTTGAGAGAGAAGTTGGAAAGCAACAGTGACACAAAACAGACTGACCTAAGAGGTGATTTAAATCCTGGTTCTATGCTGAAAAGTGACATGACAACAAAGATGGTCCACAGGAACTTAATAATAGTATCTTAGAAGTAAAATATACAGCCTTCTATTTTTGAGACAAGCAGAAACAGTAATGTTCTACCAAGGGTCTTAGCCAAGCTCTGTTTTCCCCTGCAGGTTCACCTGTGCTATGCCCTTACTTAGAAAATACAGTTAGGTTAATTTTTGCTCCGTGTAGGGAGAAGATGCCAATGAAATGTGTGAGAGAGAAGTAACTGCACTGCAGGATTTCTTTTGCTGCATGTGACTTGGGTTAACCCCATCTTGATTGAGATGGAACGTCTTAATGCAGGAATCCAAGCTGGTGCTGTATAACCAAATTATACAGTGACTTCCAAAAAATTTAATAGTGGATCATTTGATAGGAAATCATTGGAAGCAGAGTCCAGCTGGTTCAGAAAGGATGGGCAAGGAACCAAACATTTTCCTTGGTTTTATCTTGTGCTGTACATCAGTTAGTACTTGGTAGATTAAGAGGCAAAGCATGTGAGAGCTGACATGCTGCCAGTTGGCATGTGACCTTACAGAACTGAACTTTTCACATTCCTTCATAATCCTCTTCCCTCCCCTCTCTTCTGCATCTTCATTGTCGACACCACAATGTGACAAGAAATAGGGAGTCAGTGCGAAGCAGGATGTTGAGGCAGGCTACAGCAGTACAGTCCTATAATTAGTTGGGTAAAAATCGCCTTTTCATAGTCTCAAAGGCAAGTTTTGCTTTGCAATACTGTAATAACGTTGAACTACAACAACAAATAGCAGTGAGTGTCTTTACTCCCTCAGCACTGCTACTGAGGTCTTCCCTTCTAACGGTACCAAGATACATCATCCCTTAATTGCCACTAGTAAGAGGAAACATGACGGCAAGAAGACATCACCCAAGCCTGGAAACTGCAAATGTTATCAGTAGGAAGAAGATTCCTCCTTGTGACATGTGGCAGGAAGCAAAAAAAAAAAAAAAAAAAAAAAAAAGAAAAAATTTTTAAATTGGTGATTTGGATCAAAGAAAAGTTTAAAAGCCAGTGTAAGAGATCATATTTTAACCACTTTAGATGCTGTGCAGTATTTGGATCACGTCACTGAAATATGCAGGGTGTTCTGCTGGCCCAGGGAAAAGCTTCCCTTTCACAGTGTACCGGCCTTCCCCTCCTGCCTCTGTGAGGTTTCTTTTCTCCTCCCACATTCGAGCATTCCTGTTTGTACCTCTTTGGCTCCCATTCTTGCTTCCCTTCCAGTGAGTGGTTTTTCCTCTGCCACTTACACAACTTGCACACTTAAGTCTGGTTTCAATGGATTATTTCAGTTCTTTTGCATTGGTTTCATTCTGTTGCCATTACCAGGAATATGATGGCCACAAAGTGAAGACCTACACTTCAAGATGGAGAGGAGTTCACACCTAAGCCACTCCTAGGTGGGAAATCAAAGATGAGCTTCCTGACTTAGAAAGATCTTTCAGGGAGGTACTTCTGACACAATGTTAAACAAAACACACCACCCGCCAAAAAAGAGAAAGGGAAAAACAAAGGCTGGAGGTTGTATTTAGCAGGCCCACAGCAATAAAATGAAGGCAGCTATTCTGCTACCCCAGCACAGCCACAGACAGTGAACTTCCTAGCAGCTTATGTTTCCTGAAGGATACATTTAGTCCCAAAATGCTGGAAAAGCACTGAACCAGATTTTCTGCTTTCCGTTCGCCTGATGAGCTTCTTGTGACAACTTGTTTCCATTTAATTTAGATCATCTGCAGTGGAGCAGGAAAATATGATCTGTAAATATTAATAAATAAGGAAAAGTTTTGGAAAATATTAAAAATCCTGCTATTAGCAAGTGCTGAAAGCTGGATCTCTCAGAGAAAAGTTCTTTCATGTATTCTGGCTCCCTAACAAAGGCTAAAGGGCATTGTCTTCATTAAAGCAGATTCTCACCTGTGGGGCTACCTCAGGAAGTAAGACATCTGTGATAAGCGTGATAATAGATACATGCTTGTGAGAGCATCTCTCAACGTATTAGATACTCTCCACGTTATGGAAAATCTATTTCTCTGAAGAGTCTTCTGAGAATAGAAGTCCTCACAAGGGCTCACTAGCATAAGAGCAGATAATACAAGGAAAATGGATGTCAGGGATTAATCTAACTGTTGCAGAAACTCTTGATTAATCTGAGACTCTGTTCTCTTTCCAGTGTATGATTCTTTTGTTCTCCCTCCAATTTCTTTATGCTTCTTCTTTCTCGCTTGTTTCTCTCCTGATCTTATAGGGAAGGGGAAGGAATCATTTCTAGCAATAAATATAAACAGTTTCAAAAGTTACAGAAATCATAGTTATAAGAAGTAGAAACTCCCTTGTGAGTTTCAATACAGGTGTTGAACCAGCCATTGCGTGTAGCTACAATGATGAAACAAATGCCAGCAGACAATTTCCAGCAGTTCCTGTGGCATGTAAAATTGTTCTTGTATTAGGTTCTCTCTTAAGGAATGCTCGTGCTGAAAATCAGTCCAGAAGTGGTGAAACAGGATTTCTAGGGCCAAAACTTCCACTAGAGTTCTACCAAGATAAACAAGTTCAGAAACTGTCTTGAGTATTTTCAGCACAAATATACCCAAAAAAGGTGACATTCCTCCCCCCCCCCATGAAAGCTGAACCCATATCTTGCATGCACAGTACTGAGAACCATGTGAAATACTGTGCTGATACCACACTTCAGAAACACAGGAAAGGAAAAATACAGTTTTCTTGCAGTAAACAACTTTTCCAGTTGGAAAGATATTCCATTTGCCTGTTGTTATATTGGAGACGCCTACATTGCAGCATATTTGTGTTACAGCCTTTAATAAAGATCACAGACACTGTTTGCTGCTAACAGATTTGTAATGCCCAAACTTTCTGTCCTGCTGCAGCCGCCTGAAGAGCAACATTGATGGGAAGTTCTTGGTGGATGGAGTACCCTTCAGTTGCTGCAACCCAAGCTCCCCGCGGCCCTGTATCCAGTACCAGCTGACAAACAACAGCGCTCACTACAACTACGACTTTCTGACAGAGGAGCTCAATATTTGGGTGAGGGGGTGCAGAGAGGCCCTGCTGGAGTACTACACGGCCATTATGAGATCCATTGGTATTACAGCATTGCTTATTTGGTTGTTTGAGGTAAGCCTCATAAAAACACTGGTCAGATTAATCAGAGTCTTCCTATTCTCTAACTACATAATAACTACAAATAACTACTGTGTAACATAGGAAGAGTGCCTCAGTATCCAATAGAAAATCCAAATGCACTTCAACAATGTTGCAGGATTCCTTCAGTGCCCACAACTTCCCAGTGCAGAAGCAAATCTCACTGAAGATAAGAACTATTAGAAACTGTGTATATAATCCTGCATGTTTGCAGAGCTTTTTTAGTGGATTACAGCATATTCCCTTCCCTGAAGCATTTATTGGATCAATTACAGGATGATGCATGCAGTGACAACTGCACAGAAATGAGGTCTGAAGACTGCTTTAAGTCAGTTTTAACAAAGAATATAAAAAATGTGAGTAGCTCTTCAGCCAAATACATTAACTTTACAGGAAAAATTCAGCATAGGTACTACTATCTCAAAGCTTCCTTTTTACATTCCATAACTTCAGCACATGGCCAGTACTTGCGAACACAGCATACCTTTTTAGATTTAAATTAGACTGCTTATTATACAATCAAAATAAGCATTCACAGGCAAGCACATACACCTGTGAAGATGCACTCTTCCTACTGGCTGTAAACTGAATGTTGTCATCACAGGTAAAGGACTCCACGATAGCATGGGCTAAAATATGGGTTTCTTCCCTTTTTAGCAAGTTTTCATTTTCTGATTATTGCCGTATTTCATGGATATTAGCACTGTAATTAAAATAGTTCCCAACAGTCCTCCAGCAGTGCTAGATGTGGTGGTGGTGCCAGAAACAACAGGCCTTTGGCAGCACCTTGAGAAAGCTGGGAGCTGGCTCTCTCCACTCCCTTAAACATTGACACACAGGCACCATGATCTCAATTTCCGGAGAACTGTGGAAGTGGGGCTTTTTCCTATACTTATATTTGAGGCTCTGCTATAGGCCATCCTTCTTAATTTCAGTGCATTGGCATGTAGAACACATCTGGCTTCCACATGAATGACTGGACTCCTTGGAGGAAATACTGATTTAATCAAGGTCAGTTGAAAAAAAAAAACACTGAAATTAACACACTACAATCTATTCTTTTTTTTCCCCATGGTGACTGATAGTTCTATTAATTGATCATCCATTCTACAGCAATTAGTTATAGTCTCTGAGGCTGCAGTGTTCCTGAGTAATTCTGGGTATTGATGTGCCAATAACATCCACGTGGGAATGATACCTGATGAATGGAGAGAAAAAGAATCAATCACTCTCTCCCTGGTGTTTTTCTTTCTACAAAAATGCAATTACTTGGGAGAGTGGATTGATATACTGCTGGGGTATGGAATTTGTCTGCTTTATTCAATATTATTCATTAAGCCTGTAAATATACAAGTCAGCTAACTTAGTGATAGGACTGAGGCTGTAATTTAAACTCTTGTTTAACTACTAACTGTTTCTTACAGCTCTCTGTCCTTATTGGAGTCCGGTACCTACAAACAGCAATGAAGAATGTCCTCCTGCTAGGCGATCTGGAGGGTGAGTCAGATGGTTGGTTACTAGAAAACAGCTTTGTGGAAACTGCCAAATACAACATCAATATCATCAAGAACCTCGGCAAAGCCAACCAGATCTCCACTGTCTCAGGCATGAATGATCCCAACATCAACGTTCAAAACACAAACTGTGACAAAACCAATGTTACAACAAAATCTATCCCAGCAGCTAGCTAGGCAAGTCTTCAAAGAAACAACATCACAAGTGTAGCTTTGACATACCTGACGTGTAATGTCACTGACTAGGATTCCCTGTGTCTGTAATTCATCACTCACAGTACACAGGAAAAACATACTAATACAGAATAGAGGGTAAGAGACCAATATTTTACTTGTTACTGTTGTGAATAATACATTGTCTGAGTATCATTTTGGACAGCCTGCATATAATCAAATACGAAGAAGTTGTATCCCTGGGATATTCAAAGCAGAATTACTCTTGCTTTTGAAATTGTTCCAAAGTCACAGTAAAAATTCCTTTGTCTAAACAATGTTGTTTTCTATAACAATAGAATAAGCAAGAATTATAATGTTAGAATAAATATAAATAATGTAAATAAAGTGTGCAATGTAAAAACCTGTACTGGACTTCAAGCAAGCCGTATGATCAGAATGTCAAGTGCAGTTGCTTCACTGCTTAGAAGTTTAGGCCTGTACCTAAGTATGTTAAAAATAAAAATGGGCAGATGGGGTCTGTCTGCAATATTAATCTGTAGAGGATGTTTTGCAAAACACATGTAAGAGACAAGACCACTAGAAAATAACTTTTTCCCTGACAAAGCCTACTAACTTCCAGGAAACAGAGAAATCTGGGGCTTGGTATGACAAAGAAATTTGCATCACTGTGCTTCAGTAAATCTCACTGGACACTTTCCTATAAGTTGGCATGGGGTTTTTTAAAGCCATTCATGGTTTTGGTTTCCAAAATACAATAAGCTTCACAGGTAGAACTGCCCGGCTACACATTTTCCCCAGACCCCACACAGCTCATTTACTTTTATGTGAACAGAACATGTTTCACCATTAGAGACTAGTTAATATTTGGCAAGTTAACCTTTGTGTCTCAGCCAGCTGCCAAGGACTGCAGTGGTGGGTACCAACGTGATCACTTGTGAACTTAACTGAGTGTCAGCATACATCTCACAGGGAACCGTCATTGTCTTGACTACTGCCAGGCATTACTTAGTCATTAGACTGCTTCTTCCTATCCTGTACAGGCATCCAGAGTCCCCATCTATACAGATGCACAACAGAAAAGATGTCAGCTCACTTCATAGCAATCAGGATACAATCTACTTTTTTTAATAAATAGTGTCTTTGCTTTGTTCGTGTTCGTTTCCTCAGACAGTGGAAGGGCTCCCTACAGACCCAGCCTGCTTTACACAGCACCCGTCACAACAGTTTGGGTTTGCTGGAGTATTAAACACCACAGTCACTGGATCAAGGAAACAAACTCAGGCAGCAGCAGACTCCACCTTTAACTCCCTGTAATTTATAAAGACAAAGATGGCATTAGCACGCCAAGCCTTTAAGCCGGAGCATCTGCTCAGATACAGAAATAAATACGATTTGGGGGACACATCTTCTCCTAGTTGTTATTAATGCTTAATCCAGTCAGAATTAATAACAATACATTCGTAACAACAGCAGCTTCCAGAGTAAGGAACTCACCTAAGGATAAAAAACTACCTTCTGTCTGGTGAAGGCACTAGGACAATCCCCAGTGAAACTGCAGTTATGATGCTCTCTTCCTTTAAAGCTTTCTGCTTACCACTGAAAACCCTTGCTCTATACTGATCATAAGAAAAAATAATAAGAAATATACAAATAGAGCACATTTAGCATTTCATACTTCAAAATGAACACAACTAAGTTTTCCTTAGAAGCTAGAAACCTCCCTTCTGCATACAGTTTTGGGGGCTTTTTTTTAACTGCAATAATACAATCACACAGTTCTCCACAACACAGGAATCATGATATTTAAAATCGCACAAGTCATTTGGCCCATGTGCTTTGTATCAGTTCAGGCTCTGCCTCTGGCACACTGTACTTTAGCAAAGAACCACAAAGGTGCACAGCTCATGGAATACGATGAAGAGACCATCACTTAGATGGATGATCTTGTCCTGCCCCTGGATGTCAGTTAACTGAGGCAGACTGCCCGGAATATGTAAGTCAAATTGCTCAATGAAGTTCTGTATAAGTCCAAATTGGCAAAATCAGTATTCCTGCATCATGAGCAGTATCATGAGATTGAGATACACTGGGTTTGCTACTTGTAGTAAAGGTTAGCATGATTCACAGAGAAAAATGGGATGGAAAGATTGGAGTCTTTTTATCATCTGTAGTGATTACTCCTCAGGTGCCATGGTATGGTCAGGATAACCTTCAAGTGGAAAACCTGGTACATTAGGTACATCTCTCCAAGTACCAGACAGTGTCTCAATTCTTGTACACAAAGGCTAGTATTACATTTCAGGCAATACTAAGAGCAAGGAGACAGAAGGTTCTGCAGTCTGATGAAAAAGATTGACTACAGATCTTAATACTTGAAATGATCATGAAATCCACAGTCTCCACTACCTGCTTTGCCACATTTCACTGAGGTTAATACACTCAAGCCTAGAAACCTCCTAAAATTAACTCTGACAGCTTCCGAATTGTTTGACAACCTGCAATTAAACAGCCCAAACTATATCCCTTTTTTGACACTGATCTCATGAACAACAGTCAAAGAAATAAAAATGAAACTTAGGTCCACTTTTAATATTTCATGTTTAACTTGATACCTAGTCTCCTCTTACTCACCATTACATAAAATACATACCCTTCCTTTGAATTTCAGCTCACTCCTTCAACACACATTTCCTTCATACAGCTTCTTTTCCATGTATGCTTTCAATTATACAGAATGTAAATTTAGAGATTGTAGCTAGGATTAGAAATAGGTGGGTGTGAGAGACTTGTATAGAACTGGATTTTCATTATTAGCCATTTGTTTTCTGTACCAACCCCCAAATTTAGCCCACCTGCAATATACACATAAAAACAAATAAAATACATTGTGCCACAGAAATGAAACAACTTTCAGTTTTGAAGAAAGTCTCTTTGAAGATGTTGTCAAATAATATGTTAAAAGAATCCAACTAACTTAGATACTTTATCACAGATATGACTAGTTTACTGTGGAGACAATTCAAGGATGTTGTTCTAGGAAATAAAGTGGATTTCAACCATAAAGCAAAGCATTTAGAGTCCTCCTCTACATAGTTTTGTACATTTATACACTGCACCTTGAGATTTTCACTATGCAAGAAACAGTGCTGTGGATTCCTTCCTTCCCCCTTTTATTTTCTCCCCATTGAATGGGCTTCTTGTTCTAATGTTCTTAATGACATCTTTGCTTTATATTTTAATCTATCTACCTTTACCTTTTGCCTTTTCAGGAGCTGGTTCTTAAAAAAACATTTACTAGGAATAAGCAGAGAATAACACCATCAACACCCCTACTCTGTAAGCTTCAAGGTGCCCAAAGCTAGAACAAAGTAGCAAGAAAGCAGTGACTGCCAGCAGCTTGGAACATCAACATTTGATGTTTCTCTGTCAACGACTTCTTGGCTGTTTGCTCAGCTCTGGAATAAAACTGAAGTATCATACAGCACATTAGCACCATAAAATAGGCCTTCCTAGAGGCTAAGTATCTGACAGACAATATAGCCAGTTCTCCTTTGAGAAGCTACAAAACCAGAATCACTCAACTGATCAGGGTAAAGACATCTGAATATTAAATTCTGTACTTAAGACTTCTTTTACAAAGGGAGGTAGACAGTGCAGGAATGCATATCTGTAAAATGCTAGGACACATTTCAAGAGGAATATTCCCTTAAATAAGAACAAGCATGCCACCATTACCAACTGGTTCACTGATAACACAGATCATAGGATAATTGGTATTGTTTACCAACCATTCACTGACTCTGCTCCTTTTCCATACTGACAGATGCTGCTATAATGCTCTTGTAAAATGACCTGTGAAGTGTCAATGCACCTCCAAATAAAAGCTGAATGATCTATGAGAAGTTACTTTATTTCCTGTTTTTAAATATACATATACAAGATATTTTATTTCAAAAGCACAAGAACATTATACAAGTTTCAAATTTACATTTTTGCAATTAAAGATACCAATATGTGCATTATAAAATAACTTCTCCTGTCAGCTTGGATGGAACGGAAATCAGTGGCATAAGCGTCTTGCGATCACTAAATACAGATTATACTCACAGTGAACAAAACTGCATAGTAATTTATGAAATGAAAGATGACCACGCTAGTTAGTGAATGATATGGGAGCCCATTTGCTAAATCAGCATGTGCAAACATACAAAAAGATGCAACATTCCTCTCCAATTTCTTCAGCTACAGAGAGATTTCCAGAGCTTCAAACCTGAGCTCACCTGCTCAACCCTGCTCCTGTCCTTCCATACTACAGTTCAGACAGAAAACAAAATAGAAGTGATCTCACTGCATATTCAGTAACGGAATTGTTGTACCAGTGAAGTGCAAGGTAACTGAAAGTTGTTGATAAATGAATACATAAATGTCAGAGGGAAACAGTAAGAACAGCTTTAGTATCAATGAGGCATAAATTTGCTAGTCTTAATCCGGTATTTCTGTTGGTAAGAAGCATTTTGATGTCCTTGGAAATCACCAGTGAATGCGAGTTTTCACGGCAACTTGTTCTAAATTCAGAATGTATTTCAAATAGGTTTTAGAGAAGACTGACAGAATTAATGTTTGTCTTTCAAAAGTTTCATATTCAGGTTTAAAAACTGAAGGAATCCAAATAAGGAGAATGGTCTTAACTGAATACCCAAGAATACCCAAGAAACAGAATACCCAAAAAAATATACCAAAGCCAACTATTTGTATCACCAGGGAAGGATAATAGCAAAAGTTATAAAAAAGTCTTTGAAATCAGAGCAATATTTGAGTTCATTGGTATTCCATGTTTAGATGTTATGGTGCTGCTCAGTGCACTCCCACATACTCTAAGAACTTTAAAAAACTAGAACAAGGACATTGAAATCTAAATCACTATTTGTGATTCTACTATCTCTCATACAATCAGCAGAAAAACAAACAAAAACAAACCATACACCACCACGCTCTCAAGACATTAATTTGAAAACCTCCCCTTGGAAGCCTTATTAGAATAACACAGAAGAACCCAAGTGGCAAAAGGTGGAGAAATTTAGAGTGCTGATGACTTCAAACAGCCATGTAGAAACGGGGTTTTCTGGGAAAACATTTTTACCCATCACATTACAAGTTCTCTCATGTATATTAAGATTGAAATCCAGAAAACAGAACAACAAACATTTAGAAATAAAGCACAGTCACATATCATTGAGAGACAGTTCAACCACAATGAGCTATTCACTACTGAAGGACAAAGAAATAGACTTAGCCACCTTCCCCCTCCCCTCTTCTGCTCTAACTTGCACTGAACATCCCCCCCAAAACACATGGGTTCATTTATGTAGGCAGGGCTCCAAACAATAGTGACAGAGGATGAAGAGTGGAAAATTCCTCAAATATGGGCAAACAAACTTATTTCTGATTCTAAACTTGCTACTTTTGGGGCCTTGATTTTAGTCCAGTAATAGCTTTGAAGGTCATCTACTTCACTGAAGTCTCTGGCTCTTGTGTAACTTGCAGAGCTACACTGCAATTACTTAACAGCATTTTTATGTTGGGGTCCTGGGGAAAAACCTCAGAACACAAACTGTAAAAGAAGTAAACCAAAACACAACCTAGCCAAATGGTGTAGCCCTAGACCTCTTATGATAAACAATGTTAAGAGAGAACAAATTCATTAGATAAAGTGCAGTTCTGGCAATGCAAAAAGCACAGACTTTATTTTTTGATGCAACAAGCAAGATGGTCATTCCCCCATGCACTTTCTATCCCACGCTTCTTTTAAGAGTTTATTAAGGAAAACTCTTATTAAATCCCAGGACGTAGCTGGATGAAGGCTCTTTCTGTACAACTGAATGTATGTTGCACCTGTTGCTGCAGATTACTAAAGGCCTGGCACCATTTCCACTCCAATGTTACGCCACAGACCCTGACCTATTTAAAAGCTTCACTAAGCTTTTGAAAAGAACCTAGGGAGAAAGAAAAGGAGGCTTTTCCATAGCAACACCATTCAGGTATATTCTCAAGGCATGGAAGAGACAAAAATGTGGTATGTGCCCTGAAGCAGAGCATTTGGAAAGCTTGTCCCTGTTGAAACATGTGAAACAATTACAAGTCCTCAAAAAAGTGGAAGTATTTCTGAATGTGGGTGTTCAGTAGTAATTGTATAATTTGGTGTTCCTTTGGGGAAAAAGGAAAAAAAAAAGCAAAACATACAATGTGAGATTTTTGTTTCAATGTGTCAGTAATACATCCAAGCTAGAGAATCCATCGTGTCTGAACTACAGAATACACTTAAGAGTGTATTATTTGCTGCCACCCTCCTTTCCTTTTCCAAAGCACTGCCCAAAGTAAGAGTTTTCACTAAAAATCAAGAGACTCAGAGCAGTTGCCAGTTGAATCCAAAGAAGATCTGATTTGTTTCTTGGCTCCTAGCAATCTCCTCTATGATGCAGTGTTGCTGCCATAGCAGATGGAGCTTCCGG